AACGGGCCGGAGCATAACTTTTCGTGGGCACAAGCAATGCATTGGCAAGAATTCAAGCCCAAGGAATACTTCCTCGACGAAGGGACAGATGTACGCTACAGAGTTCTCACACCAGGTAGGTGTCACCTTACTTTCTTCTGACTTTTTTCTGACCAATGCTTGCGTTCAGAGGGCGAGGATCCTCAAGGAACAGTGCGAGGAAAAACGACAGTGCACAGGGACCCTGGCGGCTTCCTGCCCCCCGTCAAGACGAGCACCTCGAAGAAGCGCCCTTCGGAAGATAATAATTCTCGTGGCGGTTCCAAGTACGCGCGCTCTGGGACGGCTCCTCAAGTTTCGGATGCCAGGAAGGGGTTAGAATATCCGACGGCACTCAGTTCTGTCAAAGAAGGAGTCGCAGGAGGAGATGCAGCAACGGACCAAGAAAATGAAACTAAAGCGCGTCGAGGTGTGCGGCTCCAGTGTGGTCGTTATGCGCTCGAGATGCTGTCCAGCGCTAGCTTTCGTACTCACTGCATTGGTGCTCTTGTTACGGTGGGACGCATTCAGCCCCTCTACTACGATCGCTCCATCGTCATTGTTTGCAAACCGATTGACATGTTCAAATATGTTCGCGAGCCGGGGAAGGCTGCCATCACTACCGAAGACGTAACGGACGAATTCGCAGCAATGCTTGTCGGGTTGGGTCGACTCACTCTCAAGCAACGCGGCATTCAAGAGGCATTTTGCACTGACAGGGATCTCATCAAAAATTATCAAGAGTACATGAATAGATGTGAGGAGGATAAGAGGGATATCTTTAAGGATGTCAAGCTCCGGCTCAAGCTCAAGTTGGGTAAAGATCATAAAGAGGTCGAGGTCACCCTTGGCCGGATTATAGCACGCCAACCTGGCATCGTCGGTCGGGACACTTGCGTAGTCGAGGCGACGTCGGCGCACAAGGGGTGGACGGGCAAAGAACTGATTGTCAAGATCAGCTGGCCGGCCGTCGATCGCACATCAGAGGCGGAATTGGTTCAGAAAGCCAGAGACAAGGCGCGGACGATGACGCACGGGAAGAAGCCAGACTGGGCCCTAGACCATCTGCCCGACATTCTCCTTTCTCAAGACTTTGACTACGACGCGGATTCTACTCAGGCGAAACTCGTGGCCTTCTTCAAGGATGCCTTGCTGGTAGAAGGGAAAAAAGTCGAGTACGAAGAACGGGTCTGCAGAATCACGGTCCAGGAGAAGTTGTATCCTCTTGAGAAACTGAAGACGGTTAGAGAGTATGCTCAAGTCTTTTTCGACATTTTGCAAAGTGCGTGCATTGTTTTTCTTTTCCAACGAGATGGCTTATAGTCGCCCTAGTTCACAAATGGCTGTATGACCACCCAAGGATCATCCACCGGGACATTAGCCCAGGGAATATCATGTGGCGCCGCAATGCCAACGGCGACCTATGTGGGGTTCTCAACGACTTCGACCTGTCCACTCTTCGAGATGCCACTGGCCCTTCTTCGGCTCACCGTACCGGAACTCTGCCCTACATGGCGTATGAACTACTCATCAACGACGAGAACGGAAACTCACCCCAGCACCTCTATCGACATGATATAGAGTCCATCTTCTATGTCATTCTCCTACAATGTTGTCGTTACGACCTTGTGACTACATCGGAACACATAATTCCGCAGCGCATTAAAGTCCCTTCCCGCTTCGACGAGTGGTGCACGACCGGCCGTGGGCCCTTGAATGATAAGAAAGGGAATTTTTGGTTCAGGGATTCCCGACCCATTGTGAATAAGGGCTTCACTGACTTTCAGCCGTGGCTCAGGAACCTTTACCGACAGTTCATGTTGGGACTTACGTTCAAAAGACTGGGAGAAGGAGGGCAAGAACCCTTTGATGATCAAACATTACAAGGCCAAGTTTCTTATCCGAACATTGTCCAAATTTGTGGCCAATTCGGAGGTTCGAGCCTTGTAGTCCACAATGACCAGCTCCAAGAGTAATCCTAGTACTGAAGTCGTTGCAGTCTGTTTCAATGATGTATAATTGTAACTACTATCTGTTGTTTTGCAGTAATACACCTAGTTTGAACTTGAACTTCGCGAGACTGTAATAGTTGATTTTTGAAGAGTAACCACAGGAACGCCGGTGAACCGTGCTGTGTAATACTACCTACCTACCTACCTCACACAGGTATATACTTAAGTTGAACGGAAGTGAACGGACGACGTCATGAATATATGGGCGTTATACTGTACAAAAATTCTTTTGTTCAGTAGGGAGGACACCACTACTTTTGATGGTTCCCAGCACTACTTTCGATGCTGGTGCTTGTTCACCGTCAGGGTTAGGCTCACACAGCCACTTCCCGTTTGAGCGATACATGTGTCTCAATTTGCAACCACTTAGTGATCCGCCACTACTTCAAGTTCGCAAGTACATTTACAGATCCCGATGGACACTATCACTCAACGACAAACCCCTCGCCGCTTGCATTATCCGTGGCCGCGGGCACATCATTGTTTGCACATATTTCCAGCCCACTCGCAAACATCTTGAAATTTTCGTTCTTACCTCTCCGATTTCCCTCCTCTTTTGAAGCTCCATTGATTTGCGTGGGCAAATCTTGTTCCTATGGACGTCTTTAATTAAACCTTTGCCGCTTACTCACAATTGACGTTTCGCCTTGCATTTCCGCTCGACACGTCTGAGATTTTGGGTCTGGCTTTGTACTGGAAGTTGACTGGAAGCGAAATTCCGAATTTTGTAAACTTCTTTTCTATTTTGCTAAAACATTCTTGTATAGTCATTGACTATTATATATATTCCGAGGGTGCTACTGCATTGGCATGGACTTATATTATCCATACAAGTTCTAGGCTTGGTGTAAATGCGCCATCAGCGGCAGGTTCGACGTCTCGGCAATGCTCGGATCTTTGCGGACCCAACACGGACGTTCTCAAAAAGTACTTGCGAACGGCTTGTTACAGTACAGCAACAAGTACGAGTAGATGCAGGTACACCTATAAGGATGCATAAAAGTACTGGGAGATGGAGAGACAACTAGGTGTGTGTCAAATGGGTACCTGTTTTAGCTGATCTCCTGAAGTACCTGTACGCAGATAATTTTTGTACACTATAACTGCGATATGAATAGCACCCTGACAACGTTGATTCTGGTTTGCAACTACTACATGTACCACTTACGACTTGTTTTTTGTTACAGGACATTCCTTCTGGAGATAAGAGCTGCGGCAGGTAAGTACCACGTAAATCGCCTTTTTCATTAGCTACAAAGATGCTCAGAATTTCCGAAGGGTGATCGCTGTTGACGCTTTTCTCCCGTAAGTAGGTCCGAACCTGATCAGAAACAGATATACATACACCGATGTATGGGAAGACGTTACGAAGAGCTAATCTGCCTACAGGGAATAAGCACTGTTCAGGAACCCAGAAACCAGTAGTCAAGAAAAAACGAAGGTTAGCTGGATGCCGCTACGCTGCGCCAGAAAACTTCTCTTGCAGGGAGCATCGGTAGTGGGTTAAAGATTGGGCGATGCGCGGATACAAAGACAAACCATTTACATTGGTAGATATCTAGCCGCGCAATCTGAGAGGTGGTATACACATTCTCTGTTCTGTAGTTTGTCAGCGAGCTCATAAGCTGAACAGCCAACTCCACTCACTATTCTCAACATCGTTTCGTATCTTTTTCCCGGTTCTCACCAGTTTCAGTTTCTCTTCCGTCACATCAAACCACTGCATGAACTATGCGACAACCTCGATGTTAACGCAGAACACAAATCCTGTCATCCCAGTGTGCAGATGAAAGTACAAGCCACCGCCGACGCAGTTCCGAGTCCTGTGTATACAGGTCTCGGTCTTATGCGGACCTGAGGTTTCGGTGGCGGTGCATTTTCATTACCTCCGAGGTTTTCCCGTCTAAATACGTCATCTTATTTCGGCAACCTCGGCCTTCTTCGGCATGTAGTGGCATCGATCAGTATCTGGGCATTGATGCCCTTTAAATTTCCGCCACCGCTGCTGTTCTGAATGCGCTACTTACTACTATTTTTGTCTCCATCGTTCTATCTGCTCATACCGGTTTTCTAAACTCTAAACTCTACCCGAAACCTCAAAGTTTCATAACTATTCTCCTGAGTGTCAAATTGCTCGGCTGTTTTCAGGATACCCGGTGGTTATTGATCTCAATGTTGCCTCCGGTCGCCAACCTTCTGGACTTTGGGAACATGATAGGACATGGTGACGAAGGGCTGAGTAATCGTGAGAGAGCAGAGATGTAGGTGGAGCTGGGGAAGGTTCTTATTCAACCCGAACTTGGAACTTCAAGTTGAGTTTGCAGTTGTAATGCCGTCGAGGCTTCGAGCGTTCGCTCGCAGATTCTTGCTTGCACTGCGAAGACTTCCGAAAAGGCTGTGAGCAAAGTGCGTGATCTTAGTATCTCATCGATTTCTTTTTCCATATTGACTATGCAAAATTTCAGACTGCGCTAAGTGAAAACCCAGTAGCTACACTGTCGACGGTTACTTCGTCAAATGCCATCTTTCATGAACCACGTCACTACGTTCCGATGCTGCTTCCATTCTTTGTGCCGGTGTCGTTATCTACGATGTTGCCATGTAAAGCAAACCAGCATGGATAGCGGTATCGTCCTCCTTGGGTGCTGGTGGAGGTCCCGGTCGTCTCAAAACCCGGTTTTCTTCTCCGTCTCCAAGGAAGGTGCTTCCTCTCTGAAGTATCAGTTCAATGTTTATTGATATCAGCATCCTTGATGCGAGACCGTGGCGGAAGACCTGCCACCGATTCACCCAAAGCCTCCCCAGATTCTTCTATCAGAGTACACAATTGTCATGTGATGCCATTAAATCTGGGACTGGGCTTTGCCAAGATATATATTCTCCCATCTGCAACAACACTATCTCACTTGGAGCATCCGCCATGATCAGTCGAGGACGTCCATCCCGATTATCGCCTTCTGCATCGCGAGAGATGCCCACGTTTACTAGAACCGCAGCAAACGGTATCATTTCTCCATCAAGCCCCAGCCTGCAATTAACCGGAAACCACATTTGTGGGCGTCTGGCCGCTTGGACAGTCACGACAAACGCTAATCCACCACAACGCAGCTTACCCACCCCTCCTTCCCCCTTTCCTCGTATTGTCCTCGTAATCTACCTACGTCGCTGCCACCTCCATTGTTACGGCAACCTACCATCAATATGATGGCGGTTTTGGTCTCGCGGAGCGTGCTGTGGAAAATATTAATCGTGCTTGGGGAGGTTTGTTTTCGGGTTCAAGTAATTCTGGCTACCCTTCTTTATCAATGCATCAAGCATTGGTCTACCGCTGATCGTACTTTAGCATGCCAGGGAGATCCTCAAATCTCAATTTATATGCATTTGGTCTTCGATCGGCGCTCATCTGAAAACAGGAAATACGGATGTCATCCAACCGGTCAGACTGTCAGGAGGTACGAACATCGAAATTAATTCCTGCAAGAGCTCGTTCATCCAACAAGCCTGTTTCAAGCCACCCACGCGGTACACCAAAATCTACATCACATATCTTACCTTCCTGAAGGCATCAAAACCCCATTCCAATCAGTGTATCTAATGTCAAATGCCATGGTGTAAGCATCTCGTACTACTTTTTTCAACAAGCTCACCCAAAGACACGAGCAGAAATGTGTCCTGCTCAAACCCACCTCATCTACTATCCTCAACAACCTCCGCACAGTTTCCGTCGAGACCATCTGCCGTACTATCAAAAGAAAAGCCGCCTGGTCAAACAACAGCATGGACGACGACTGGCTATCCTCAATAACCGATACCATGACATGGCAATGCTCCAGTGCCTTCGCCAAGCCTTCAAGCAGAAGGAGAATGGACTCTCTTCTCTTCGAATGTGTAACCTCTCAATGAACGAGAGCGATCTTGGACATTCTCTCTTCCCTCTTTTCACACAGGACTCGGATATGCCGTGCCCCGCGACGGCCCACCACTTCATCTCTAGCGGACCATCCTCTGAACTCTCTTCGTCATCGGGGTAGTATAGAACCGAAATCGGATCTCCGCCAGAGTAGTAAGCCCATGGGTGCAAAGCGCATCATCTAGGCAAGCCCAAAGCTCGCTTTGGTCGTCCGGTATGTCGTCCAGCGTCGCTCCTTCGAACTGGAACGTGAAAACCAATGCCAATTTTTTGATTGGGGTATGTTGAGGAGAGATGCTCTGGAGAGCTTTCGCAAACCATCCCGACAGACGTTGGTTGAGCGCCCAATCTTAAACACAAAAACAGAGGAACAATTCGAGGCTTTCACAGTGAGGAAGTCGAATACTGAGATGTTCCTCGGTCATGTGGGATCCCTTGCTGTCTATAATTGGGCGTGAGATGTGTTCGAAAGGAAGTAGATACTGTGGAATCATCCCTGTACGCGGACTCCTCGCCCAAATGTAGCTCGGATACGGAGTCCCTGACTTCGGGGATTTCTAGAAACGTTTGGATCCTCTTCTAGATAAAGTCGTTGCAAGTGGCGGTGACGATAGCAAATCTTTTTAGGACGCCCGGCGCTAGGATACGGAATCGTGAAGTAGCTAACATGTCTATGAGAATGCTGTCTGGTACCGACACCAACTCCAAGACTAATTGCTTGATTGATAGGTTAAGATCTTTTTGGGGCTGGAGGATTTTGCACTTGGGATCTTGAAAGTCCACCAAAAAAGGCTTATCCGAAACCTTGTCGAGACGGATCTTTCGTCCGTCAAGTTCGAGGACATGTAGATCGGACAAGCGAAGGCATTCGAGAGGCACAGAGGTTAGAATGGTCTGGAATTCTTGAAAGTGAAGCGTAATTATTTCCAGACGAACGTCGGTGAGTTTGGTGCAGGCGGAAAAGACAGCAAAAAAGGCGTTCCGTCTGGGGAGGCCGTAAAAATCGATAACTGACAATTGGATAAGCGTCAGGTTGGTCATACGTTCCATGATAAACGAGAGGCTGCGTGACGTTGAAATGCTAGAGTCCGGTGCGTAGTAAGCGTTGTCTATGATCAAGCACTTGACCAATGGCACGAGAGCTGGGTTCGATTTGAAGAGACGCTGGAGCTCAGATCCTTGCCACGCCGGAGTGTCGGCAGAATTCCAAGTGATGGAGATCACTCGGAAGAGATGCTCTTCGGCTCGTACGCTCACTTGCCGAGACGTTAGGCACAGACTGCACAAGGTTGGCACACGATCATCGTCGTCAAAGTGTGATACCTCATCAGTAATATCGTCAATGAGCTGTTGGGACAGCGCTGGAAGTCCCTAAAAGTACGCTGTAAGCCCGTATAGGATGAACTAGCGTAGAATCCCACCTGCGTAGTCGTAGACATAGTATGACAAAGGAAGAACCAGAACTGGAAAATACAGCTCTTTTATGGGGGCTTCAGCCATCGCTATAGGTGCTATTTATATAGGAAATGATTCGAGAACGGAGTTCCTGTTTTCCTCATCTAGATGGAACTTGATATCTATCAGAGTAATACGTATATGGCATTCACAGCCTGCGTGAAGGAACAAAAGAAAATTTTGTCGAGTTCATGATTCGGAAATACCGATACACTTTGGGAATTTGACTAGGAAGGTGTGGCTAGACAATCATTGTCATGGGAAGGATAATAGAAAGTGACCTTGAAGTAAGTGAGGATGCACACAATGGGCGGCAATTGCCTTCCGATTCCGTCCCGAGGTCCGGTATTCTCCGACCTATAACCGATCTTGCGTTTATTCTACATTGTTCTCCTGTTACTGTGACTCTCTTCTAACATTTTCGTACAAAGCTCTTTTGTGATCCTTGGCTACCATCAAAGGCTCTCTAGGCTGCTATTATCATCACTACCTGAAATCGTGTTTGTTTTGCAACCAAGTTCACCTCAAGGGATGCCCTCCGTAAGCATCTAATCTCGCCCGTTTATACGAGTTTCTGATGTAGATTTCCAGGTAATGGCTCCTGCGAGAAAGAAGATATCTCGGGACAACAAGGAGAACGTCGCCGTCCCGAGTCGACAACAGCGAACACGGACGGCACCTGTCGGGCTGTCAGAGGAGAAGGCAACTCTACCTATTATCCAGAAGCTTAGGCGTTCAAAGCGCTCTCGCTGCCCGCTTTCTCGGTTAGACGACAATGCTATGGCTCCACTCTCTGAAGCAAGCGTTCTTCCCTGTTACGACGCTCAAAACTATCTATACGAAAATTCGCCAGACTATCTCTTGCCAGAACTCGACTTGTGTTCATTGCCCATCGATATTTCTACGGAGATTCTGCCCGAGGAAAACTACCCATGCTCTCCTTTGATTGACCCATTCTGCGACTTGCACACACTATTCCGTGACTCAGAAGCCAGATCTAAGCAACCTCCAGCCTCGCCCTTTTTCCTTATTCCATATTTCGTCGAGGGTCAAGTTCGCCTTGTCCCTCTGCAATCCAGCACTCTCCCTCGTCGCCAGCGACCAACTCTAACCGGACTCAAAGCGTGTCTCAACCCATTCTCAGACCTGTTTCTCTCGGACGCCCTTCTCGATGAGCCGTTACCTTTTGATTCGGAAATAGTAGACCCCTTTGAGGAGGTGGTCAAGATGCCGCCTGGCGCGTTTTGCACCAAAGTTGGCCTCGCGGTGCCAGATGAACGTGGTTATGACTTGGCGCTCTGATTCTTTGCATCTATTCACGTCCGATTCGTTTTGTACACTATATCGTTTCATTACTAGACTGCAGACTATCATTTCAACTATACTGGAACACCTTCACAGCGCTCCCCACTGCAGCAAAGTCCAACAGGTAAAGAGCTCGCCAGTTACTATTACACGGCTACCTTTCTAGTAGTTGTAACTTGAACTGTTTCGGCAAGGTTAGTATTTCCACAAACAGGCCAGAGAAACCATGGCACCTCAACCTCGACTTTCTTTGCTGATATATCAAGTACATCGCATGTATGATCCCTCCGATCCAGAAGAACAGCGTCAGGACGATATTGATGAGGATTTCCGTAACGGAGCGCCTCATAATAATCACTGCAATTGGCGGGATGAGGATGCCTACCTGCAACGGTTTTCAATTCGATGAATGAAACTATTGTTCCAGAGGTACTCACGATGATGAGAAGAATCTCTTCGCTGGTAAAAGAACCCATGCTCCGCCCTTGATATGTTTTCTCAGTCTGTTCGGTGGTGGTGGTGGTTGCTGTGAGACAGGTATGTCGTCACATGCTTATGTCGGTAAGCAAACAAAGGAGAATGTGGTCATTTCCGGTTCAGCTTCAGGCGTGGTTCAGAGTAGATGATCAAGAAATTCGATTTTTACTCGTGAAGGGATTTTATGTAGCTGGAAATTTTTTATTAGGTTATCCACGAGTCCCTTCAAGAAAGTCAAAAAGTTTTGTCACCCATGCTGTGCGTCCACACCTCACGTCTGAGGATAGGGCGCACAGCATTGCTCTATCCAGGAATCGAACCTAGCATTCGAAGCATAGCTAGTGCGCTTCTCCATTATGCCAACATAGAGCTAATTATCCCATGATAGTTAGCTTATGATGTGAGTCATATGATGTGGTCCCTAGTAGCTCATACCCTTTCAATACCACCATCTATCCTAGCCAGCGGCCTCAGAACATTTTTGCTTTCTACTTCAGGCCGTTCCTTGCTATATCCCCTGCTCTGAGCCGTCTACAGTCGAACTCTTAATTCAGTAATTAACCTAACCCTTTGGACCCCAATTCCCGGCCTGGTAACTTTCTGTGAAAAACCAATTTGAGTTTTCCACACAATCCTAGCCAGCGTATGAACTCAGGATAATGTATCTCGCCTATCGTCGTTGTCGCTGTGTACTAGATGGAGATAATAAAGAGACAGATCAGACAATTGAGTTGAACAAAAGTCCGAATATCGCCATCACCACTACCGAAGAATTTAGAAACCTGATGCCTTCCGTCATTTAGCTTGTGAGGCTACAATAAACGTACCTACGTCTATATCATGTACCTAAAATCAGGAGCTCTATCTCCCATCTTCTTCAATTCTTCACGAGAATAGTTCATTCCCTTCTGCATCTCCTTCTCCCGGTTCGCATTAATCCTTGTATAGCTGATCACCGCCACCGGTACACAGACGAGCCCTATACCCACAAACATCAATTCCAGGCCGTCTATACAAAAGCCTCTTTAGTTTGTGGCAAAGTGAGTCAACCAGCTTCGATACTCACGCCCCAAAATAAATCTCGGTGAATCTTGCGTCCTGTATATATTCGACGCGATGGCGCCTGCGAAGTTGCCAATACCAATCTGGGTGGCCATACCCACACCGCGCTTATACTGACCCGCGAGGTTGTTCCCAAGCCTAGGTTCAACGTGAGCAAAGAGTTTTAAAAAAGGGAGTATATCACTTACCAAGCCACAACTCCTGGGAACGAGGCATAGCTTCCAGCGACACAAAAGAACGTCCCGAAATACTTCACCCCTGTAGCCACATCTGATATGTTAATAGCGAATCCCACAAGGAGCATCCCCAGCCCGAGATAGATAAACGGAGAACGCGTTTTGAGTCTGTCGGAGTATCTAGCGAACAAGTACAAGACAATGGCTGGTATAAATAAAACAAATGAGCGTCTGACAATAGCTAATAAGCAATAATAACATACTAGCGAATATGTAAGGTGGCACAGTAAGGAGCTGACTGATAGCTGGAGTGTGGCCGAATCTAATTCTGCGCATTAACAGAACGCCGGGGAGGTGTAATTGTATACGTACGTGTTGATGATTGTTCTGCAAGAGATAAGCACCCGATATACCTGAATAGAAAGATAGAACTCACGGGAGGAACAAGGTTATGCCATATACTGGAAAGCGATGTGAGTTCAGTCTTCGTGGGACATGAACGTGGAACGCTCACATGGGCCGATGACGGACATGTAAATGAGAATGTGGAGAAAGACCTAATATAGCATACATCAGAATGCCTCTTTTCCCAGACTGAGGGCATACCTGCCAG